TACGCTTCTTTCATGCTCTCGCGGAGCAGAACAAAGACCATTCGCTCCGACGAAGGCTTAATTACCAATTTTGCTTGTGGGAGGGAGCGTGGCCGAGTGGTTTAGGGCGCTGGATTTAAAATCTGGAGGTCCCTGGTTTAAATAATTCACACTAACGTTACCTTGATTTGTTCACGGAAGTTCCGAGTTCAACTCCTAGACCGCGTTGTGTAAATAGCCAAATGGTCAGCCTCCCACCAGTTGGGATTCTTGATAGTTTATGTTCTATTACAATGTTTGGTTATTTGTTTACAGTGTCCCCAATTAGCACAACAGTGCTAAATACATTTAATGCCTGTAACATGGCTTGCTGTATCTAAACCGGTAGATACATACCGAATCAACTTCGGCATAAAAATTCAGAAACTTATAATCAGCCTTTGCGCCAATCGCTTTGAACACTTTGACAACTCCTCGTCTAATGACTCGCTGAATTCATCACTCAAGAATAACGAGGAGACCTGGCACTATCGTTTGGCACTACGATTTCTGGGATTGTTTAAGTAAAGAGCGTCGGCTGTGAGCAGTAATTTGGTACTATATCTAAGAAATAAAAGCCATTTGCACTCACAGGGTTCTAGATAAGTTTTCAAGGTGTGTCAATAAGGTATTCCAACAGGTCAATTCCCACTGCTCCCACCAAACCATCGTAATTTTTTTATTAAATAGTAAATGTAAAATGTGAAAAAAATGTAAATCTTATTTATAGCGGTCATGTACTTAGCGAAACAAGCACTAAGCTTAGCTAGTTTACAGGCATACCACTGAAACAAAGTCGGATCATGCAGCCGACCTTGTCGGGTTTTTGACCTGAGACCCCTCACTTGTCTGGAACACTGACTTTGAACTTTTTTTTTGTCTAATTAACTGTGACAGCAAAATAAACAGCTGACCTGTAAACTTCCAGATGATGTTTGAGGACGTAGGTTTAATGATCCACTGGACAGGTTAGGACTGTTTCTTTCCTTAGAATCTGCCTTGTCTCGGGTGTTTCGCGGAACAACTGTGGCGTAAAGGTCTACAAGACATGGCTGAGTCAGTTAAGCATGCGTTAGGGAAAATAACTTACTTTAAATAACTGGCAAAAATCTCTCGCGCTCATTGGTAGAGAGCTTTGGTCGATGAGCGAATAGATCACAAAAGTGACGTCACGTGGAACTCAACATAAGGCCACGTTCCTAAAACGTGAGCAACTCTGTCGAACATTTCCAATCAACGGAAACCGGAAAGGTTTTAAAGTCAATTGGTGCAATTTGTCCAAAGATACTGAGGAACTGGCAGAATTGTAGCAGGAAAAATAGTTACCTTTCGCGTCGTCGACGACACTGGTAAATATCACTTAGATATATTTTTCATGCATAACATAAACGTAAGGGAAATATTTGTATTTTGCCGCGTAGTTCAGGGTGAAATTCTCACTAATGGTACGTTTGTCCGTTTGCATTTTGCCGCGGTAGTTTTGGCGGGAACTGCCCACACACAGTGCGTTTCTTCATTTACATTTGGTTGTTAGAGATCTGGTAAGAGCCTCCCGTGCACTACGCATTTGCCTGCGCCTGCGAGTAAGCTTTCTTGTCAGCTCCTAGAGCTGTAAGAACTGCAAAGAAAGCTTGCTTCCTGACTACATTTGTTTGTTGCATTTTGCAGCAATACTTTTGGCGGGAACTTCCCGTACCCCGCGGGTTTGACGGGAATTACTAACGCACCTGGTCCAGCTGCCACGTCACTATCCTCCAGCGGTGCTCCATCCGCTGGTCCTCTGTGTGAGACATCTGAGGTGAATCTATTCTCAGCCGCCGTCTTCTGTTTTTCTTCTTTCGCGCCTTTTTCAGAGTCTAAACAAGCGAGGCCTGCATTGCGAGGTTTGTACGGAGGCACTGATGGAGGTAACACACCCTTTGCTGGTAGTTGCCTCTGTCCAACTATCTCATACGAAGCTTCAACAATCGGGTTTCCTTTGACCTCCACAGGGTAACCAATATCTGAATGACATTTGACTTCGACAGGGACACTAGTCTCTGGATTACTTTTGACTGGCACAGGATGGCCAATATATGGAACACTTGTGACTTGCACATCGATACCAACATTTGGATTACTCTTCATTTCCACAGGTATGCCAGCATTTTCTTTGGGTAAAACACTTTTAACTGAGGTAGGTGTGGCTACAGGACTCTGCGTATGGAGAACAGGCGATTGTCCCGCTACTTCTGGTATTCCCACCAAGCTGTAGGCGCCAACTGGTGTCCGCTGATCCCCTAGCTTTTTAGGCTGTGGTGAAGTACGACCCTCCACGGGCTTTGAATGTTTGGGCTTTTGCGGCTGTGAGCCCTGGAAAGATTGTGGCACAAATTGTGGAGTCACCACCGTCGTGGTAGGTGACGGAGGACTAGTAGCACCAACCAGAAAATACTGACCTTGGGACGATTGGATCAGTCCCAAATCACTGCCGCCGCTAGCACCACCACCACTTCCACCACTCGCACCCGGGTCTTGGAACTGCTCTGCTAACAATGGGCACCTCTTGGGACCAGGGTCTGCCCGTATCCTGTTGGGGACTGTATGAAAAGCTCTGCTGTTTACATTTCCCTTGGCATTCGCGAGCTGAACGCCGGCTGCAGGTGAATTGTTTACCGTTGGCTTTAAACCTAACAACCTCGAATCGTCGAGCACATTAGGAGAACTGGTTGATCTCGGAGCGGTAACTCCAGATTTGGATGCAGACTGGACTGGCACTGGAAGCAAAAGAGTAATTTAATGACTACTATTAAGGAGCTACGTCACGGTTTGCGCATCTTGAAAAGTTAAGCCTAAATGTTTCAAGTTCGTTGTTTGTAATCCGCGTTAATCTTCTCCATCCTTAATCATCCTTGTTCCCAATATGGTTTATTTTTATCTCTCTGGTGTTTACTTAGGTTTTCAGCCTTCCTTAAATTTAAAGGTAATTTGGTACGTGGCCACATTAACTCAAAATGCCTTTACTGAGCTTCCTTAAGTTTGGCTTAAAGCAAGCTAAAGAAAGCTACTTCTTTTCAAAATAGCTTTAAAAACGTTTACTATATACATGCATGGTATCATCCCACCAGTGTAGCGTATTACTCGTTATTTTACTAAGTTCAGCATTGACTAATATGGCGAGTTACCTTCAATATTGTCATATCTGGACTTGGGACCTTCTTTAGCTACGGACCCTAGTGAGTGCCTTTTGGATGGCACTGGAGGTACATCATCTCCGAAATCAATTAACAGACCTGTTTTTAACATTGATCATGATTATTAACAAGTTAAGGTATATCATTATTTGAGGTGTGGTTACCTAATGGTAAGTGGGCCGAACTCTAGATTGAGTGGCCTGGGTTCTGTCTTTGGCCCACGACATTGTGTTGTGTTCTCACTTCTTCTGCAAGATACTATACTCTCACAGTGCCTCTCTCCACCCCGGTGTGTATAAATGGACATTGACGATTTAATGCTAGGGATAAGGTATGGGTCGCACTTAGGAAAAGTTTTCATCTTTGCCGGCTAAAAAACCACAAAAATTAGATACCGCAACCGGAAATGATAACTTTTAGACAGAAAACGGAGGGTCGCACTAGTGGGAGATAATTTTCAGGAACCAGATACTAGACACCACGTTGTTTACCCACGTGCTTTCGAAAGACATGATATCGATCGCGATCTAAACCGAAACAAGCATGCGTCCCGTTGAAGGAGTGCTCATAGTCATTGCAGTTTGTTGTCTTTCGCTTGATGTACGAACGATGGGCAGACGAATGTTAGACGGTTTCAACAGCGGCCACGATCGAAGGAAGAAATCAACGTCGACGAAGAATAGCCCGAGGAGGGAGGAGGAAAAACTCTTCGCGTTTGATGCTATAGAAACAGGAGATACGTGTAAGTGCCAGCCTGATGGGCCATCAGGTTCAAGAGAAGACTTCATCTAAATTTAATTAATTACTTGGCTTGAGGTAGCAGGCATTTGCCTCTGCACACTCGATTCTTTCCCCATTCAATACATTTATTTGAATTGCAGTCAAACTGAAAGTTTCATACTGACAGCATCGCACAAAAGAGATCCACCTCGCGTCCAACAAGTTGACAAATACGTCCAAATATTCAAGTTGAACAACAAGCAACCAGTGAAAATACAAGACAGTATGGCAAAATCTGCATAAGAGCCATGTGGTCCATTACGCTGGAGCTTATCCCGGTTTCTGTAATATTAACCGACTAGGAGTATTTCTATTACCCCGTGGATGGAATGTTAGTCCACTGCAGGGTTAACCCCAGCATTAAGTTCACCGGTACCCATTTGTACACCTAGGTGGATAGAGGCACTGTGAGAATAAAGTGTCTTGCCCTAGAACACAACACAATGTCCCCGGCCAGGGCTTGAACACGGACTGCTCAATCCAGAGAAGAGCCCAATAACCATGAAGCTACCATGCCTCTCATAAAAAATACATGTACATGAAAATACATGCACATGTACAGAACTCTGAAGTGCTGCATGTCACATCACAAGCTTTGATTTCTTTTCAGTGGAATTGAGTGGGGAAAAACTGAGTATAAGAAGATATACATTTGTTTACAAATTAGTTATAAGTTGCGACTGATCTTCAAAATTGCATCATTATAAAAATTTATGTTACTAATACTATTAACGTGACATAATATGAGTTAATATAAATTGATAATTAATTAATTGCAATAATTCAATTAATTAGGTAACTGCATTGCATTAATGCCTGATTTTAGTCCAATTAAGATCAAAGGTTAAGCATGTTACAGGATTTTAGCTCAGTGATTAAATTCAGTTATTTACTAGACATTTGTCTTGGTTATTGCATGATATTTCATGCTCCAACATTGCTTGGCAAAGCACTGATCATTTTCATATCCTTGATCAAGGTGCACTAAAAAAAAACAAAAAAAAAAACCTGGCTTTCAACAGGTGCCTTAGCTCAACGTCGAATCAACAAAATTGTTGCCTACATGTACGTGTACGTTCCAGTATCAAAAGTTTACAATGCATGTGAAGGACTTAATCAATTTATGTATAATGTTGCTCTCTGGGTACACTTCAGTCTGCACGTATTGCATGCCTATCAGGTCCATGGTTTCTGTTTTTGTTATTGTTTTTGTGTGTGTGTGTGTGTGTGTGTGTGTGTGTGTGTGTGTGTGAGTGTGTGTCTGTGTTGTTGTTATTTAAAAAAAAAAATATATATATATACTTCTTGAACTTGAACAGAATAAATTTATAGAGCGCTCGACTCTAAGAGGAGCAGTGTAGATAATAAACAATGGTAGCAAGACTTCAATTCATCGTTCTATTGTGACAATGCTGTTTCGTATGGTCAAAGGATGACCACACTCATCAGGCAATATCAAGGAATCTTGATATTGCCTGATGAGTGTGGTCATCCTTTGACCATACGAAACAGCGTTGTCGCAATAAAACGATG